CATACGGGATATGGGGGACAAAGACAAATTGTTCGCATTCATAGAAGGTTGAAACCTCATGCTCGTATGGAGCTGCAAAGACAACGGGTAGATACCCTGCCCAAGGCCATTCAAGCTGCAGAGTGCCTTGGGGATTATCAGTTGGAAACTCAGAAGGATAGGCCCCAGCCGCCTGTCCGAGGGGGATACAACGGGAGCCAACCTAGCAACGGTGGCCCCAATAAAAACGGAGGAGATCGAGGTGCATCCAAATCTAAGACTCCTTCCTCAAGCAGCAACAGTGTTGCATCAGTCAACAACAATCAGGGAAGAAAGCCCCCATCAGAATGCCGTCATTGCGGCGGGGAACATTGGAACAATAAATGCCCCAATACACAAATCAATGCTCAACAATCTGTTGACGATGATGAGTCAGATGAGGACGGCTCAGTCGGCGCAGAACAAGTAGGTGCCTTCAACGCATTTGTTGGCTCCATTCATGATACCTTGGCGGGAACCAGTACTGGCAACCCCAAGAAGAACGCATTCCTAATCGACAAGAAAGGGAAAGGAAAGGCGGACGAAAGGCCTCCCACATGACAAAAGAGGACCCTAATATTCGTTGACATGAAAGTAAATGGCAGACCTATTCGGGCATTGATAGACACGGGTGCTAGCCATAACTACATGGACTCAACTCAGGTGCAACGCCTCGGTCTAGCAGTGCAAAAATGCAAAGGTCGTGTCAAGGCTAGCAACTCTCCGTCTCAGCAAGTGAGTGGAATAGCCAAAGAAGTGCCAATCAAGCTTTGGCCCATACAAGGGAATATTCGACCTATACATAGCTATCATCGATGACTTCGAACTGATAGTGGGATTGGAATTCCTCAGGTAGACCAACACCATCCCGGTACCATATGCCAACATGCTCCTAATGATAGGAGACAACGGGGCAACCTCGTACCATACCGTGCATACCCATGAAGATGGCCGCTGGAAACATCACGACCATGCAGTTAAAGGAGGGAACCAACAAACCTGAACCCACGGTTCCGGCTGCCCTCAACATCATCAAACAGACATCACATCATCGGGGTCCAACAACTCATGTCGCCCCTCATTGTGTGAAGACTTGTCAAGCATTCCCAAAAGGACAAGTCGGATCCCTCAGCATCAAGCGGGACTCTTGGAGCCGCTACCTGTCACACAGAGACCTTGGGAAAGCATTTCCTTGAATTTCATCACAGGATTACCCAAGGTCGGAAATCATGCAACCATTATGGTGGTAGTAGACCAATTTTCCAAGTATGCTACCTTCATCGCAGCCCCACAGAACATATCGGCAGAAGATACAGCTCGACTCTTCTTCTCTCATGTTGTCAAATATTGGGGTATGCCCAACAACATCATTAGTGACTGCGACCCACGCTTCACTAGCAAAATTTGGACCCAACTCTTCAGTTGCCTCGGATCCAAATTGAGTTACAACTCAAGCCATCATCATCAACAAACATATGATCAAACAGACCGGTTCAATAACATGCTGGAGGAATATCTCCGCCAATTTGCAACCGGGTCACAAACACATTGGGTGAAGCTTCTGGATGCTGCTCAGCTGTGTTTCAATTCACAAAAGTGCGCCCATACAAACAAAAGCGCTTTTGAAATTGTTACCGGACAGCAACCGCTACTCCCACAAAATGTGAATGCACCAAATGTGCCATCATCTCATCGAGCTGCCAGTTTCTCGACAGAATGGGAGCAAACTTTAAAGATAGTGCAGAGCTATCTTGTCAAAGCCCAAGAGAGGGCAACGAGGTATGCCGAACAAAACCTTCGCTTTGCCCAACATCAAGCAGGGGACAAAGTGATGGTAAGAACCCCGAGGTGGAACTTATTTGCCAAGAGGACCCAAGATCCTCGCCTATTGCAAAGCTACATCAGGCCTTTTTCCATTGAAAGGCGCATCGAGAAATCCACATACCAGCTGAACACACCAGCTGGTGGAAAATCCATCAAGTCTTCCATGTCAGCCGCCTCAGGCCATTTCAGAAATGTATGGAAGATCATTCAGAAAGACATCTCACAACACCGAGGGGAACAGACCTCCCAGCCAACAAGAGCCTGACCAATCATCATCATCCAGCAGGTAAGGCTCCGAGGACGTCGCCAACTCAGGTGGGGGAGAATGTCATGGGCTGCTTTCCATCATCGACCCATGACCCCTTGGACGCGCCCCGTGGCATCCCGGCAAGCCTCCCAACGCCTAGCGCCACGGTCGGCCCCATGGTCTCGGCAGCGCCAAGTGACAAGCGCGCATGCGCCTCTGCCGCCCCATCGATAATCAGTGCCAGTGCCCAGCGGCTGGCCAATGCCATCGGTGCCGTGCACACTGACAATGCCGCGCGCACAAACCATCATGTTACCCACAGCGCCGCACGCACAGACAGTGCCCCGCGTGCAGACCCAATGCCAAGCACCAATGCCCAGCCGCTGGCAGATCCAAATAGTGTCGGTCGCACCAACAGCAATGCGCGCGTAGACCCTGATGCTCAAGACAAAGTTGCTACCATCGGACTTGCTTCCATAGAAGATTAAGTCCTTTTCATTGTAATTATAGAGTAGTTTTACTTCATTCATTTTCAGTGTGCTTCTACAGCTTTCTTAGGTCAACTCATGTAACTTTAGTTTATTTTTTTTAAGCATTATTAAGGGGGACCAAAGTATTCAAACATTCAAGCATTCAAACAATTCTCTGTACTGGTGTCTCTCCCCCCGACACCGCATTGCATCTTGTAATAGCTTTCATCATCATCAATACAATCATCAGCTTTCATCATCAATTGCTCATTTTTCGCTGCTCAATTGCTCATGACATTGTTTTTCCTGTATGGCACTGACAATCTAGTCTAGCGTACGGAGAGGACCTCAGTTGGCGCATAGCAACCACATTGATATCGGTTGCTTAGCCTTACGTCGCCCTTCCAAGGAACTTCAGGAAGGCACCGCGTAATAGTAAGGACGATAGGAGGAAACTCGGAGTATTTCCAGTTGAGAGGAGGTTGCATCAAGGATCAACACTTAGCCCGTTTTTATTTTTCTTGGCGATGGATGCATTGATGCAATATATTCAAGGAGAGGTGCCCTGTTGTATGTTATTTGCATATGACATATTTCTGATTGGTGAGACGCGGGGTGGTGTTAATGAGAGGCTAGAGGTTTGGAGACATACCCTTGAGTCTAAAGGTTTCAAGTTGAGCAGGACCAAGATAAAATACTTGGAGTGCAAGTTCAGCAGAGTTACCCAAGATCTGGACGCGGATATGAGGCTTGACACTCAAGTCATTCCTAAGAGAGAGAGTTTTAAGTATCTGGGGTCTTTGATTCAGAGTGATTGGGAGATTGATGAGGATATCACACGTCGTATCAGAGCGGGATGGATGAAGTGGAGGCTCACTTGCAGTGTCTTATGCAATACCAATGTGTGTGAGTTCTACAAAGTAGTGGTTAGACCGACTATGTTATATGGGGCAGAGTGTTAGCCAGTCAAGAGCTCGATGTCCAGAAGATGAAAGTTACTGAAATGAGGATGTTTGAGATGAATGTGTGGGCATACTAGGTTAGATAAAATTAGGAATGAAGTTATTAGGGACAAGGTGAGAGTGACCCCCATGGAGGATAAGATGCGAAGGGAGAGGCTTTGATGGTTGAGACATGTTAAAAGGAGAAGCATAGATGCCCCAGTCAGGAGGTGTGAAAGGTTGTCCTCGGGGGTCAGAGGAGGGGTAGAGGTAGTCTAAAGAAGTCTTGGGGAAAGGTGATGAGGCAGGACATGGCACAACTTGAGCTAACCGAGGACATGACCCTTGATAGGAGGGTGTGGAGGTTGAGGATTAGGGTAGAAGGTTAGTAGGCAGTCGAGTGTTTCCCCATGTCTTCTTGTTCCAGTAGTATTAGTGTTAGTATGGTATTATTTTACCCTTAGATGGCTATTACTACATATCTTGTATTGTATTACTCGTTATCAGTGCTTCTTTAATCTTGTATCTTGCTATCTTATTCTTAGTTTTCTAAATATTTTGTACTATTATTACTTGATATTAGTGCTTCTTTTATCTTTTTTTTAGCTGAGGGTCTATCGGAAACAACCTTCCGTCCAAGATAGGGGTAAGGCTGCATGCATCTCACCCTCCCCAAACCCCACTTGTGAGAATACACTGGATCGTCGTCGTCGTTGTCGTTGTACTTATCCTTTATCTCCTCTTTTTCTTCTCTCTTCCTTTTTTGCTTTTCTCTTTCTTCTCATTCTCCTTCTTCTTCTTTTTCTTCTTCTTCTTCTCGCTCTTTTCAAATCGAAGGTCTATTAGAAACAACAAAACTATCCTCCCCAAACTTCACCTGTTGGGAATATACTGGGTCTATTGTTGTTGTTGTTGAAGCATCAAATAAAAAGGTTAACTAGTCAAAATTTTAGAATGAATCGTCATTTGTGATGATTGTTTTCTTCACTCAAGGCATTTTTTTTAAATTACTATTCAACATTGGAATTTTTATTTTTCTAAAATTGAATAAATTTATTATTGCTTTTAAATTAAAATATCGATCAATTGACTGTTTATCAGATCAATCTGACTGTTGATAATTAAAAAAAAAACAAACAAAGCTTTTGAGATAAACATAAACGAACACGTTCAGATGCTAAATTTATTGCGTCAAATTGAGACGTCAGTCGTTCACATTCTTTAAGTACAACTGTGGTACAAAAAATGCTCACTAGTGCCGGCCGTAGACAATCAAACCCCTTCCTGCTATCTTTCTATATATATATATATACACAAGAAAGGATCCAAAGAGAGAGAAAAGCGCGCGTCTAGAGAGAGAGAGAGAGAAAAGGGAGAGAGAGAGATAGAGAGAGCGCAATTGGTGTCTCTACCAGGTAATATAGAGACCTATAGATACAGAAATTTATATCTCTATGTTGACTCTCTCTCTGTGTACTTTTCTGAATTTACTTTCCTACATGAAATTCACTCTCTACTGTTTCTATATCTAGTACTATTCATCTTCTCGTTGAAATGTTTTGTTAAAGTTGGTAATTGAGCTGTTTTTGAACTTTGAATTTTGAGGTATGGCTGAACTTCTAGGGTTTGGTGATCTGTTGATTATTTGTTGGATTATGTGCTGTAACTATGTGGTGCTGCTTCCTTGGTTGAATTGCTAAAAGTTGATTGAAGTTGACTTTGTGGTCTTCTGGGTTTACGTTGAATTATTTTGGGGTTTTGGGTTTTCTGTTGTCGTGAAATTTTTAGATTTTTTATGAATAAGAACTTCATTACTGGTGAATTTTCATATTTTTAGAATTTATGAATGCAATTTTGATTTTTAATTACCTTCTGAATATATTGTGGTAATATAGAGTATTTCTCCGTGGAATAAAGAGTGATTTTCTTCAGTACATGTGTAGTATAATGGTTTCATAATAAATTGAAAGAAAAGAAATTGATTATAAGTTTGATTTTTATTTTTTAAATTTCAGACAACTGAGGAAAATGAGCTTTTCTTCACGTAGATCTTAGTTAAAGATGGTTTCCTTGGAGTGTATGGGTGGTAGATGTGCTTTATAGCTTTCTTGATAGGTCTGAATTAGGTTGCTTTGATGAGTTTCTTGATAGGTCTGAATTAGGTTGCTTTGATGATAAGTTTGGGTTTCCATGAGTTTGGGAGGAAAGATCAAAGAAAAAAAAAATAGTTTTCACTGTTGTCTTTACTGGTCTGTGATAAAAAAAAATGGTCTTTACATGGTTGACTTCAAAGGTGTGCAGAAGTAGCATATTATCTTTGTTTTGTCATGGGAATGATAAAGCTTTCATTTTTTGTTAAATTTTTCTAATGTTTAGGGGAATTAAGCTTTTACTTAGGCAGATATTGATCAAAGATGAAGTCTGTGGAGTAAATAGTAATAGTAAGTGAAGAGGAAAAAGTATGACCAAGCGAATTGTGTGAAATAAGTGAACGTACCCAGTTGAAGCATTCTTGATTGATTGAGACAAAAAGATTCTCTTAATCCAGATTAACTCCGTCAAGCCTATTTGGCAGGTGCATTTTTGATGGGTTAGTGAGGAAACCCCCAAATTAAAGGAGTCGAGCAAAAAAAACTTGGTCTTATTATCCATCGTTACAGAAAACTGATTAGATGGCGTAATTCCTTGGTAATTTTTGTTAAAACATGGTGGTCCAACATTAGCAAATTGTTGTTATAAATTTGTTATTCATGCTTGGATAGGAGGGAATTATTCAATGCAGGAAAGTATCTATAAGGATATCCTTGATTTTGCTTCAGCCAATTGTCGAATTTAGGTGTGGTTTATGATAGCAGTTTTTTTTTTTCCTTCTTGTGGAAGTTAAAAACAGATTAACAGAACACAATGTTGGTATTTGGGGAAAGAAAGGTAATGGGGAGGCTTGGTTTAAGAGTAGATAATATTGTGTGCTCAAAAAATGAGTAAAAGGTAATTTTCGTCTAGGAAGTTCAGCTAGTGAATGAGCAGGGGATATAACAAAGGTTTCTTTTTCTTACATAAGGTAAGTAATTTATTAATGATGCGAGAAATCCCGTATACATGTCATATACCAAAAAGCAGAGAACCTACACCAAGATATGGTTCTCGACCAAAGAACACCAATCATCTATACACATAGGCACCTCACGGGTGCACCGAACAACCAAGGTTTCTTTTGATAGTGGGTTCAAGACATTCACTGTGCATCTTGTTAGCATAATTCTTAAAACTGCAGAACTTTCAGTGTTTCCAGATTGTCGAAGTTATGCTCCTGTAGAGAGCTCAGTTGAAGCATGATATATGAAAGGAGGGGATGAAGTTGAAAGGGCAATGACCTTCTGTTTAAATGTCTCTGTTCCTTGTATTTAAGTGATTTTGGTTATTGGTTTCTCAAAGTTCCTTTTGAGAGTGATTTCTTTTAATTATTTCACTGCATACAGTTGATGACTATAAACACAGTGCTATCTCGTCTACTTATTTATATGTGAACATCCTGGCATAGCCATGAATTCTGAAGTTCTTTCAATTTTCTTTGACAACAGTCTCTTGAGGCTGATGCTATTTGTCTGAAGGGGTTTTGAATCCCCACTGATGCTTTCAAGTCAAGATTGTGCTAGATATTCCACGTACAAATCAAATGCCATCACTAAAAATGAAGACAAGGCCAGCCTCATCCAGTTCGAAAGAAAAAAATGGTCTCCACGTCTGTCCAAATTCAAGTGTCATATCCAAGAGTTCTCTCTCCCGAACCAGAAGTGTGCAGAATGCAAAAGAAGTTACAGATTTGATTCACAATAGTCATGATGGTAGGTTTGGTTCTATCTTATGGTTCTTAATGATTCTTTAGTTGTCATTGTGATGGCTTGAGAATGATGAATCTTTTCTCTTCACCCACAAGTTTGAACAATGGAAGTCTCTCCTTCATGCTGACATTGCCATTTTCTCGTACTGCATCTCCTGTTTCATTCATCAGTTGCTTTAATTCTTGCAGTTCCTATCTACTATGAAGTATATCCACACCAAGTCGGAAGAAATGGAGACCACGCTAATGATTTGGCAGATAAACTGCTTGAGAAGCAACATCCACCCGTTACTGATTCTGCAACCTTTGATACAATGGTAAATATGTTACAGGGTGTTAACTATCATTACCTGACATTTTCAGTTTATGTTGCAGTGTATAGTAGTCTTATATTATTTGTTCATTTCTTTCAACTATTTGGTGTATAGTGGGGTAAGGACTGCCAAATCTACATATATTTCTGTCATGCGTCTTCAGCTTGTGCGCATA